ACCAACAACGACAACAACCACAAAATGCCTCTCAAAGTTTTTTAGAGGCTATCCTAAAATTTGCTTAATTACATTAAGCCAAGTCAGGTTAAAAAGTACATTATTTTAGCTATGTGAAGTGAAAGGTCTGGCTCACTTCACAATCCTCTTAAAGACTAAGATTTCTTTCTTTAATTGATTAAATAACTTTAGTAATTTGTAGTGGTGAATAAACTTTTACAAGTGGGTAGAGAATCCCATTATAATGAGATTATATTTGGTGGCCTTATTATTGCTCATTACCCTACAAACACTTCTTCCTACATTCTGACCATAGTCCAGAGCAGTGACTTTGGTGATAGGGTTACAAGAAATCTGTTACATAGGGTATTAAAAACCAGAGAAATCCTCTCAGGAGTCAGTTTATTTAATGAAGCTATCTTTTAGGTAAGATACTTATCCACTTACTCATTTAAAAAGATTCAGTCAGGCTGATTGCCCAATAAGAAGATGATTTGTTTTTAAAGAGTACTATGTTGGTGGTATTATCAGGTTTTTAATTTTTTTTTTTTTTTTTTTGAGACGGAGTTTCGCTCTTGTTACCCAGGCTGGAGTGCAATGGCACGATCTTGGCTCACCGCAACCTCTGCCTCCTGGGTTCAAGCAATTCTCCTGCCTCAGCCTCCTGAGTAGCTGGGATTACAGGCACGCGCCACCATACCCGGCTAATTTTTTGTATTTTTAGTAGAGACAGGGTTTCACCTTGTTGACCAGGATGGTCTCGATCTCTTGACCTTGTGATCCACCCGCCTCGGCTTCCCAAAGTGCTGGGATTACAGGGGTGAGCCACTGCGCCCGGCCCAGATTTTTAATTTTTATGGTGCCACTGACCGTTGATGCTTAGAAAAATACGGTTTGTCAAATGACAGATCTTTGCTCTTTTCAGATTGGAAACAAGCAGATAGACAGAGTTTTTCTCCCACAAATCTCACATCTTGATTAGTTGGTAAAACTGTCTGAACCACCTGCAGAGCAACTTTCTTTCCTAATCATAGACTCATGCTTGGTTAGGTGGAATAATGAGGTCATTTTGTTAAGGAATTCATATTGAATACATTTATTTGCCCATATTAGAAAAGCAACACTTCTCTAAGTTGGCTAGTGTTTGAAAACTGTATTCTATAGAATAGGAAATGCAATAGTATTAATGAAAATGAGATTTGTATCTGTAAAACACATGAAACAAATACACAATATTTCTGGAATAAACAATAGATTCATGCAGACATAACAAGGGACTTTGGAGTATTCCTACTCTAAATTGGCTACTCCACTTTTCTCCACATCTTCCAAATTCATTCTCACTGAATACTTATTAAGAGCCAACTTTTTCTTCCCCCAAAAATATTTAGAGCTACATTAAAAATGATAACCCAGTACTCATAAAGTTTCACAAAACATTAGCTACCTGAATTATGTGTGATGCACTCTGATTTTTTTTTTTTTTTTTAACCGATAGAATCCCACTCTGTTGCCCAGGCTGGAGTGCAGTGGTGCATTCTCAGCTCACTGCAACCTCCACCTCCCTGGTTGAAGCCAATTTTCCGGCCTCAGCCTCCCGAGTACCCAGGACTACAGGTGCACACCACCATGCCCGGCTAATTTTTGTATTTTTAGTAGAGACCAGGTTTCACCATGTTGCCTGGGGTGGTCTTGAACTACTGAGCTCAGGCAATCTGCCCACCTCAGCCTCCTAAAGTGCTAGGATTACAGGCATGAGCCATTGCACCTGGCCTCATTCTGATATTTTCAATGCTATTTTATATCATAAAATGCTGGTAGTGACCTGCTAAATTCCTTTGATAATATGACTGTATGTAGTATGAAAAACACTGAGGAGGCTGAAGTATGCAGAAATTGAGTGGCTTAGGTTCATAAGGAAAGTAAATGTCAATCATTTGCATAATTCTGTGCAACTCAATAGTTGGCCTCTAGAATGTAACCATTCTGTATAATTCTTATTTTTCTGTTTTAGTCTGTCATTATTGCTTGATTTTCCCCCCACTTCCTCTCCATTTACCTCATTGTTTCATACCCACTTTTTCCACTCATGCCTTGGAATTTGATTATAGACTGGCTATGGCTGGCATATGTTTGAAATGACTAAAAGAACTGATATCTTCAATCAAGAAGCCTAATAAAGAGTGAAAATCCTAGACCAATACTGCTGCCAGGCAAACAATTTAAAAAGGTGAAGGTTTATAAATCAGATAGTTAGAAAATGAAGAAATTACAAACAGGCCAACTTCTAAAGGACTTTATCAGTAAATGAAAACAAATACTGAGTAGGCAAATATTTACTGAGCATCTGCTCTGTGGTGGTGATTATGCCTTTCATGTCCCCTACTGTTTTCTTCCATATATACATATATATATATGTATATGTCTTATCTTTTCTATCAAGACTATAAGCAACTTGAAAATGGAATTTCATAGCAGCTAGTACAGTATTTTGAAATCAATAATTAGAGATCAATAACTACTAGCTGATGAACAAGTCATACCTATAACCAAATATGGAACTCTTGGCTCTCAAACCTCTTCCTCTTAGCATAATATCAAAGAAAGCGCCATTCTGGTGCCCACCGTTAGTGGAACCACATCCTGCCCCTCCCCAGACAAGTAATACTGGGCTATTCCTTTTTTTTTTTTTTTTTTTTGAGGCAGAGTCACACTCTATTGCCCAGGCTGGAGTGTAATGGCACAATCTCCGTTCACTGCAATCTCCGCCTCCCAGATTTAAGCGATTATTCTGCCTCAGCCTCCTGAGTGGCTGAACTACAGGTGCACGCCACCATGCCCAGCTAAGTTTTTTGTATTTTTAGTAGACACAGGGTTTCACTATATTGGCCAGGCTGGTCTTGAACTCCTGACCTCAGGTGATCCGCCTGCCTTGGCCTCTCAAATGCTAGATTACAGGCATGAGCCACAGCTCCCAGCCCCAAATGGGAATTGGATCCATCTGTATCAATAAGGCAAACACTCTCAATAAACCCACCAGAAAAAAAAAAAATCTAATTCTTTAAGTAAACAATCTACAGCAAAAGTAACAACAAACTCTGGCTCAGACATTATTTTAAAGGTTTAACTTTATACTTTTCCTATGTGTCTAATTCTCCTCACATGAAAAAACACAAACAAAAAAAAAATGGAAGAGAAATTTCCATGAAAACACGTAGATGGAATGCTAAGAAAAAGATGAGGCATTGATAAGGTCTATTTAATTACCAAGAAGTAAATTTATTTTCAGATGAGTGACAGTCAATATTATTTTTATTTATCCTCATCTCACTTTAATTAAAAGGTGCAATGGCAACCCATAAAGAGTTTTAAAAAAATCTCACAGATGCTATTATGCCTTAGTGAGGTTTGTCTTGTCATATGTCTGAGAGTCAGCTTGCACTTATCTAAACATAACCTACAATTAAATGTTCTCAGTAGGGAAAGCCTTAGTTACAGCTGAATAGATTTCCAGGAACCCCATTAGAAGTTTCATTATTTACTCTACGCCAATAATGGCAGCTGTTGCATTTCTGTCTACAACACACACTCCTTCCCTTATGCATAACCAACTGGCCTCTTCCCCCTTAGACTGATTTCTAACAGTACAATTAAAAGTTTTAGTTAATTTTTAATGTATTATGGATTAAGAATACACATTTATCGTTAAAATTACACTTTTAAAGTTAAGAAGGCTCTCACATCTACCTGCAGGTATAGAAAAAAAAAGAATAAAGAAAGCTATCAAAAAAAACTCAAAAATAATTTTCAAGTACATTATCCCAGCCAGTTAGCTTACTGTGTACTAAGCATCTCCCACTTTAATCTTACATTGTTGAAAACTGAACATTTCCCTCTGACCCTCCTGTCTTTAGCTGCAACCTAATAAAAATGACTGGGTTGCCAATGATCCACCCAAGTACAGTTAATTCAGGATTCCAACTCCCATTTCCAGTATCAGAATATAGTTACAATACCTGCTGCTTCAAACACTGGCACTTTCTGGCTTCAGTTTCATCAAAATTGAGACCTGCCATGGCTAGAAAATTCCAACTCCATTATTTCAATTTCGAATTAAATAAAAACCAAACAACTCTGTTTTTCACTTAAGTGAACAAAATCCATGAAATCATACCAAAGTTTCTGCTAGACAGGGCACAGCTGTGAGGTTGCTATAGCAACTCTTGTACACTGACCATAGACTGCCTGCTCCATCCAGGAAAGAAATCTTTTGCTCCACCCCCCGAGGAGTCAAAGGCTCTGGCAAGCAGGCAGTCTGCGAGTTTAGTACCTGTGATGGAGCACAATACACCATTTTTCATTGTCTCTCAATAATAAATGTCACCTCAACAACCACACCAGACTCCAGACCAATTTGCTGTATGTGGTTATGTATTTCAGCACCACGACAGAACTGCGTTCTTTACCGCCTCCCATTAGAAACCCAGGCTAGGAAAGATGCCAAAGCCATTTCCCTTCAGGCACACAGAAAGAGATTAAAACCAAAATAAATGAGAATATTCCCACTTTTACCAAGAATATATTTAAGTGTTTGCTTTTAGGCTACAACTCATGCAAACATGTGCTCTACATTTTTTGGGGGGGGCCACTCAGATTGAAAAAATATTTATTGAGTTTTTACTAAGTGCCAACTCTTCTGCTGGGTGCTTTTCCATGTTATTTCATTTACTCCTCACAACAAATTAGTATAATCCTGTGAGGGAGATATTAGTATAATCCCCACTTTACAGATGAGAAACTGAGGCTCCAAAAAGTTATTTGACTTGTCCAAGCTATTAAATGGTGGAGTCCCAGAATTTGAAATCAAGTTTCATAGCTCTGAAGTCATGTTTTTTTTTCTACTACACTGGACTAATTTTCAAGAAAATTCTCAATGGAAATATTTCATGTTTCCAAAATGGCTTTAAAAATTTTAAAGGTAATTTTTAAAGCAATCCATCTTCACAAGTAATGACTTTATTAATAACTAAATATATTCAGCCACCTTTCTAAATGTATAGAAAACAAAGACACAGAAATATAGATCTGCATTATGGTCCCTGATGGGTAGCAGAAAGCTAGGCTTTAACTATAAAACTCATATCCTCAAGGAGGAAAGGCAAAGTAGAAAAACAGGTAAAGTTGTGGGGAGAGAGATTCAAGATGGCCGATTACTAGCAGCTCGGGAATGTAACTCCCAGTGAAAGCGCAGAGAACGTCAGACTAATATTTTGCTCACGGACCAGGAGATTCCCAGCGGAGGGGCCCCACAGGTCGCCAGCGTGACTCTTGTGGCCAGTGGCTGTTCCTGGTGCGGAGTGAACGAACTGGTTCCCCTTTTGGTCGATGTTGGAAGCTCCAGGAAGGCAGAGTCGCCCATTCAGCTGATTGAAAGGGGGACCCAGGAGGGAAGCCAGACCGGAGATTCCCGGGCAGAAAAGCACCAGGAGTCTTGGCACCGCTGTTTTAACCGACACAGTGGGTTGCTCAGATTTCAGCGCTGGGAATCAACAAGTTGGACGTCCACTCAGAGACCTAATTTGAAAGTCGGTAATTACGACGACAGGTGGATAAATTTACAATGACGGTAAGAAAACAACGTAAAAAGGCTGAGAATACTCAAAATCAGAATGCTTCTCCCTCCACAGGGGATCACAGTTCCTCATCAACAAGGGAACAAGGCTTAATGGAGAATGAGTGCGTTCCAATAACAGAATTAGGCTTCAGAAATTGGATAATAAGAAACTTCTGTGAGCTAAAAGAACATGTTCTAGCCCAATGTAAGGAAACTAAGAACGTTGAAAAAAGGTTTGACGAAATCCTAACAAGGGTGAACAATTTAGAGAGGAATATAAGTGAATTAATGGAACTGAAGAATACAATAAGAGAACTTCGAGAAGTATGCACAGGTTTTAACACTCGAATTGATCAAGCAGAAGAAAGGATATCAGAGGTCGAAGACCAACTTCATGAAATGAAATCAGAAGGCAAGATTAGAGAAGAAAAAGTAAAAAGGAATGAGCAAAGTGTACAGGAAACATGGGACTATGTGAAAAGACCTAATTTACGTTTGATAGGTGTACCTGAATGTCATGAAGAGAATGAATCCAAGCTGGAAAATATTTTTCAAGATATTATTCAGGAAAACTTTCCTAATCTAGTAAGGCAGGACAATACTCAACTCCAGGCAATACCGAGACCACCACAAAGATATTTCTCAAGAAGAGCAACCCCAAGACACATAATCGTTAGATTCACCAGGGTTGAAATAAAGGAGAAAATTCTAAGGGCAGCTAGAGAGAAAGGTCAGGTTACCCATAGAGGGAAGCAGATCTCTCAGCAGAGACCCTACAAGCTAGAAGAGAGTGGGGGGTAATATTCAATATCCTCAAAGAAAAGAATTTTCAACCCAGAATCTCATATCCAGCCAAAATAAGTTTCATAAATGAAGGAAAAATAAAATTTTTTGCAAACAAGCAAGCACTCAGAGATTTCATCACCACCAGACCTGCTTTACAAGAGCTTCTGAAAGAAGCGCTACACACAGAAAAGAACAACCAGTATCAGTCATCCCAAAAACTTACCAAAAGATAAAGAGTATCTTTATAATGAAGAATCTATATCAACTGATGGGCAAAATAGCCAGCTAGCATTAAATGACAATATTAAACTCACAAATGTCAATATTAATCCTAAATTTAAATGTATTAAATGCCCCAATCAAAGACACAGACATGCAAGTTGAATAAAAAGTCAAAACCCATCGGCATGCTGTGGCCAGATCCATCTCATAAGCAAGGACACACAAAGATTCTAAACAAAAGGTTGGAGGAAGACTCACCAATCAAATGGAGAGAGAAAAAAAAAAAACAACAACAACAGGAGTTGTTACTTTCATTTCTGACAAAATATACTTTAATAGTAACAAAGACTAAAAGAAACAAAGAAGGACATTACATAATGGTAAAAGGATCAAAGTAACAACAGGACTCAATGATCATAAATATATATGCACCTAATATAGGGGCACCCAGATATATAAGACAAGCTCTTAATGACTTATAAAGAGACTTAGACTCCCACACAATAATAATGGGAGACTTCAACATTAATATTAGACAGATCAATGAGTCAGAAAATTAACAAGCATATCCAGGACTTGAACTCAGATCCGGAACAAGTAAACTTAATAAACATTTATAGAACTCTTCACTTTAAATACACAAAATACACACTCTTATCAGTACCACATCACACCTACTCACAGGTTTAAATGAAATATTGGTTGGCTGTTTGTTTGTTATTTTCTTCCCTCATTTATTTTTTATTTTTTTTTCCTGTTTCCATTATTAAGCATAAAAGAGGTTTTCAATACCCATTTTTAGACTGCATTCTACCCCGGGCAATAAAGCAACACTTCGTTCTCTCTCCCTCTTCCTCTTCTCTTTCTTCCTCTCCTTCATTTTATTATTATTATTCTTTGTTTTTCTTTCTTTCTTTCTTTTTTTAAAAAAAAAAAGTTGAACATTGGGGAAAGGTGGCAAGAAATCGATATGTGAGAACAAACTCTTTGAAGTCAACAAAGAGAAAATGAGAGTATGTCCTGATGTCATTGTTTGCATTCCTGGATGTATGCATATCTGAAGTTACCTATCTATGGATTTTTCAGTTATTAAGCTAAATACACTCCTTTTCTTAAAAAAAAAAAAAAAAGTTCCAAATGTTGGCAAAAAGACAATTAAAAAAAAAAAAAAAGAAAAAGAAAAACAGGTAAAGTGATACAACTGAGTTTAGATCAAATACCCTATGGAACATTTCCAGGGCTGAGGAGCTAAGGGTGGGGATGAAGGGAGTGAAAGCTGGCAAACGGCACATGCACTATTTACACCAGGAGGAAACCTTCATCTCTGCCATTAACTACTTTCAAGGACAATTCCAAGTTTTAATGTGCCCATCTTCAGTCACCTCCCCACTTCCAGGTCTGGAAGTTCTTCTAACATGGCATCTCTTTGCACCATTAAAATGAATTATAGTTCTCTTCCTCCCCAAAAGGTCCGTAATTACCCACTTTTTCCTACACAAGCTTCTTGGGAACTTCCTAGGAAAACAGAAAAACTGTCTTCTAAAAATTGCTCCCCTTAGCTTCCCAAGATCCTGACCTAAAAATTCTTTCACATCTATAACTTGAACACTCTCTCAGCCATGGATTCAAAGAATTCAGTAAATACATACTTCCAGCTCTGTCCCTTAGGAATCACCATCTCTTAAACTGCTACCCTTTATTTGAGCTCCTCCACTCTATTACACCATTTTGGTCTGTCTTCTATTTCTAATTCAGTTCATGACTCTAGTTCCCCAGTTGCCTCAGAGGATTTGAGTGAGAAACCAAGAGTTCAGAAGAATTGTACTAGTTTCCATAGGTGTCCAGAAAAATAATCAAGTGCAAATTTTATAAAGCATGCATACACAAAAAACATTTGACATTACTGACTTTAAAATATAAAAAACAAAAATATACCATACTATACTGAATTTCTGCTGGATGAGGTAATTAAATGCCCAGCTTTCTCTTCCTCTATACTTTCTTATAAAAAAATATCACTTTTGTGGGTCCTAGAAATTCAGTCTTATTATATACAATGCAAAGAATAAAAGTCAGCAAAAATTATAAAGTAGTAAAATTGATCATTGATTTTTTTAAAAAAAACTAGTTTTGTAAAAGTGAATGGGAATAGGAGAGGAAAGCTTCTGCAATAGAATTCTGTCTCCTAAAAATTAAGTAGCTATGGGTTCCTATTGTCTCATAAAAATTTGGATTAAAGTCTTCTTCACAAAACTGTGTAACTTCAGCTTTCCCCTTTCCAAAAGAGAAAAACATTTCACACTCATCTCTAAAACAAAATAGAAAGAAAGCACCAGGAAAGTTAAATGATCTTTCTGAACTCTGTTCACTTAACATTGGTTTTTAAGGTCAAAAGCCTATTAAATGAAAAGTGGAATGAATGGTACTTGTAGCTCAGATTTAACTCAATTTTGAATACTGTCCATCTAGTATAATTTCTTAAATTTAACTTAAGATATCTGCAAAATGAACAATGTTTCTAAGACAGGATGAGGTTAGGGGCTTCAATCAATAAGAAAAATAAAAAAGCAATAATTTATTATTTGGGACGCAGTAGGTCATTAGGCATCAATTTTAAAATACTACAACTTCATGTTTTATAGAAGCTAGAAACATGATTCAAACATGATTCAAATGTCACAAAGTTGTATTAAATTAAAACCACTTTAGACAATTCAAGGTCTCATTGACAAAGTTCATTTAAGGTGACAGTTTTGCTATTTTGTTACTGTTCCCACATGATATCATCTCTTCTTAATTTCACTTGAAGATTATGAACTCGTATTGGATGAAAGGAGCTGTTTTTCTGAAAAAGGTTAGTGTCAGTCAAGCATTTTCTGGGGCTATTTTTTATGTTCCTTGATCCTTTAAGGTCGCTGCCTTCTTGCTGAATACCTGAAGCTTTACTCATCTTTGAGTTTTGAACTTTTTGCTGCAGTTTACGGACCTGGAGAGAGAAAAAAATCTAACATTTTAGTCAAAAATATACTAAAAATATGCTCCAAAACAGATGGGTTGGATTGATGGTTTAAAGATTACATTAAATTAAAAAGTCCAAGTCAGTAAGTATTTTATTTATTGAACATCTAGTACATGCCTAAACACTGTGTCATCAGGTAGAAATATAATGAAGAGAAAAGCTCTTACTTTCAAGGAGCTTACTGTTCCTATTAGTGAAAAAAAAAAGCATACATGTGACAAATAGAGAATACTCCGAGCCAGGATAACTTTGAATAAGACAAAAAGTGTTACATATGAGAAGGCCAAAGTAGGATAAGGTCAACGTGGGCGGGAGAGGTTGAGGGAAAGGTTGTATGGTACATATTAAATTGGTAAAAACTAGAGAACAGAGAGGAGAGAGAAGAACTTTTCCAGTAACATTAACAGCAAAGCAAATAATTGTTTCTAGTTTAGAAAGCCAGACACACACACACACACACACACACCACGTGTATGTGGGTGTGCGTGTGTGGTGTGTGTGTGTATAAATATATGCATTTTTTTAACTGCCATTCGGTAGTACTTTAAATTCAGGAATACCTTTGTGTACAAACACTTTTGTGTATTCCTGAATTTAAAGTACTACTGAATAGCAGTTTTAAAAAAAGTCAAGGGAATAACTTTATCCTTGAGTAGTACATGGTAATAGTGGAGGCAGACAGAATTAAACAAAAACAATACCTATCAACTAGCCAAAACCCATTTTTTCAAAGTCTAACCCATTACTTAGGCTATGTCACTTGAGCTTAGGTTTAATTTGTAGCATAGGTTTAATTTGCAGAGCTGATTCAGACTTTGGGTGAGTACCTAGTTTTCTATTTGGCTAACAGGCAATTTTTATTACAGATATTACATTTATCATAATATAATGCTTAAAAATTTATAACTGTTCTAGCTATTATGGAATATAAATCACGTTTTTCAAAATATAGTATAAACTACCTGAGTTTAAAAAATGATCATTCTTCTATGCAATTTTCTCCTATGCAATTTCAAGAAAGTGTACAAGTTGTATAATCTTCACTCCAAAGCAATCATACAGAAATTTTTACTTATTATAGCCTTAAAAGACAGAAAAATAAAAATATCTGTTTTAAAAATTTCACTTCTTTCTTTCTTCCCTTCTTTGTCATAAGAAGAATAAAAATAATAATATTCTGCATCATTTATTACTTTCCTATAAAAAGCAGGGAGGCTTACTTGTGACATTTATATAACATTAACTTTGATGAATGGTGATTTTGTCCATAGACATATGGCTACATGATGGGACTTGAGGGTTCCCTGGAAAGGCTCCCTCTGCCTTCTGCTCCAACAGTGTTATAGTGCTGCAAGTTCAACCTATGGAGTCATTGTCTTGGAATTAAATATTATATTCCATGATACTTGTTAAAATAGTAAACCATTCACTATTCTTAGTTATTAAGACTTAACATATAAGTATAGAGTTTTCCTCACCATCCCTATCCTACTCACTATAGCTAGCCTAGTATAGGTCCCCAGGGAATGGAACATAGCATAGCTTGTTTTGGGAAAGGGGAAACATGCTTTAAGAATTGGGGCACTGCCTGGGAGCCAGGTTTATGTCTGGTAGTGAATTAGAGACCTGCTGACATAAGGGGTATCATTAAAGCATTAGAAGAGAGAAGGGAAAGAAAACAGATTGCTAAGAGGATAACTGGAGGGCTTCTAACGCAAGTTTAATCTACCTCACAATTTCCCCAAAGCCATTTCTGAATACATAACTAAGTTTCTTTGCTCACTTAAAAAATTTTAACTTGGAGAGTTATGTAGGAGGTCCATGTTATTCCAATGGGACAGATGGCTGTATTTTGTCACAGGCCTATGTGACTACCATCTATCTTTTCCCTAATTCCCATATACAGACCTCAAATTTGGAAGGTCATACAGAGATATAACACTGAATCCAGATATTTTAGCTTTTTATTAAAATCTCTTACTAAAGTCTTCTTACACTGTCTTGATGCTTCTTCAGTTTGGAGATTTGTTCTCCTTTAATTTCCATTTTCTTGACTAAACACTCTAGTTCACATTCTATGTCATTACACACTGAATGGCTTTCAGTTTCCTTCATTTGTTTCAGTAGTTCTTGGTGCTCCCTATGAAAGAATAGCAAATATTAAGCACTATTATAGTTTATTGCATATATGTCTTTACCATAATTAAGCAATTTTCTGTTCGATCATAAGTTTCAGTCAGAGTTAAACATTACCCTTTAAAAAGTCTCCTTCTTTAGGGTTGTTTAAATCTATGGTAAATATAACATTGCTAAGGAACTTTTAAAAAATCTGAATTCTTGATGTTCACAGATCCATGTAGTAAGATATTTGATGTCTTTAACTAGAAGTATTAAAGGGCTCTCTTCTTCATTATTGATGTTAAGATCTTTGGAAGAATTCCAGCTGTGGTATTTGCCTGAAAAATTTCTGGATTTGGAGGTAGCCTACTGAAATGCTGTTAATAGAATTAGTTATATGTTCTACAGAGGTCTTAGATCAACTAGCTGGTCAGCCAAATCACATAGTTCTGAAATTTCTGTTGAATATATATTTACGGGAGAGGGAGGCACAATATAATGTATCTCACACGGAAATCTTCCTTACTATAGATGCTTCAAAATTTGTAATGCAGACCAGCCAGAATCTAAAACAAGGTATTACATTCCTACTTGTCTAATGAAATCATTCATTCAGCTAAAAGATTCTAAAACACAAAGGGAGAGCCTTATAAAAGCTTTTGTGAGTTATAATCTAAGGTCATCAGATCCTATATGTTAGAATGATGGTAATATCTATCAGTCCAGATTTTGTGAATACAGAAATACCTTAGAATGAAAAAGTACTGGTTACACAGAATTGAAATTTTAAATAATACTAATAAATACAATGAAAAAACTGTGACAATAAGTCTGTCCAAATGGCTAAGTAAGGCCTTTAAGAATTTATAAGTGGTATTGTTCTTAAGACTAAGAAGATAAAAATGATATCTAAATATCTTGATACTTCTCCTGATAAAGAATAAAAATACTGGTCAGGCATGGTGGTTCATGTTTGTAATTCCGGCATTTTGGGAGGCCAAGGCAGGAGGACTACCTGAAACCAGGAGTTCAAGACTAGCCTGGGCAACATAGCAAGACATTGTCTCTTTAAAGAAAAAAAAAAAGAATACTTACATACTCATTTGGTCCAGCTCATCTTGCATTGCCATCAAAAGTTCGGATAAATTGTCACAAATGGAAATGGACTTTTCTGAATCAGTAGGAATAGCCTTACACCAGGAAGTTGTTCTAGAAGGCTTGGGGAGACATCTAGGCTCAGTCTCATTAGAAGATTTCTGAAGGATATGTGGGCCACGATGTTGCCTCATCTGCAAAAATTTTTGCATATTTGCATTCACGTAACAGCTTGCACTGGCGAACGTATTGGAAAAGAAATAACTGAGAACAATTTTAAATGACTGAAGATATTTAAATAGCATTTACAACAAAGCAGCAGTTTTTTTGAACAACTATCTTCATTTTATCCCCTCTTACCTTTTCAGCCACAAAAGGCAGTGCTCCAAACTTTGAACAAATTTGCCTAGGTGGTCCTCTCTTTACACATTTAGTTTTCTAGGGATTGACAAGAAAAAACATAAACAAAAAATTATTTAAAAAGTTACTTCTGATATGAAGAACTCTCAAAACTCAACAGAAAACAGTGCAACTGGAAAATAGGCAAAAGACATGAACAGAAATTTCACTGACAAAGACATACATATGGCAAACATATGAAAAGATATTCAACATCATTAGTTATTATGGAAATGCAAGTTGAAATTTCAGTGAAATATCACTGCACATCTATCAGAATGGCCAAAATAAAAAATAGTGACAATACCAAATGTTGGCAAGCATGTAGAGAAAATGAATCACTCACATATTGTTGGTGGGAATACAAAATGGTACAGCCATTTTGGAAGACAGTTTGGCAGTTTCTTATAAAACTAAAAACATGCTTATCACATGACCCAACAATTGTTCTCTTGGGCATTTATCCTAGAAAAATGAAAAGTTATGTTCACATAAAAACCTGTGCACAAATGTTCATAGCAGCTTTATTTGTAACAGCTAAAAAACTGTTTTTTTTTTTTTTTTTTTTTTGAGACAGGGTCTCATTCTGTCACCCAGACTGGAGTACAGTGGTGCCATCTTGTCTCACCATAACCTTGGTCACCCAGGCTCAAGCGATTCTCCTGCCTTAGGCTCCTGAGTAGCTGGGATTACAGGCAAGTGACACTACTGCCAGGCTAATTTTTGTATTTTTAATAGAGACAGGGTTTCACCATATTGGCCAGGCTGGTCTTGAACTCCTGACCTCAAATGATCCATCTGTCTTGACTTCCCCAAGTGTTGGGATTACAGGTGTGAGCCACCACACCCAGCCTCAAATATCCTTAAACAGGTGAATGGTTAAATTGTGGTATATCTGTAACACGGAATACCAGGCAGAAATACAAAGAATATATTGATACTTATAACAATTTGGATGGACCTCAAGGGAAAAAAGCCAATCACAAAAAGTTACATACTGTATAATTCCATTTATATAACATTCTTGAGATAATAAAATACACAGATGGTGAACAGAGTAGAGGTGGCCAATGTTCAGGGAAGGGATGTATAGCATGAAGGAGTCTTTTAGTGGTAGAAGAGTTCTGTATCTTGATTGTTGTGATAGTGACATGAATCTACACATATGATTCATAAAATCTGCACATATGATTTCTCTCTATGTAAAACTTTCCTATTGCTGTCAGTTACCATCTGAAATTACAACTCTAATTATGTCCCTACACTTCTCAGAAGCTTTCAATGGTTCCTGTTTATAGAATAAAATTTCAAACTCTTAACATGGCATTCAAGGTCAGCCATTAGCTCACCCCAAGCTCTATTTTCCATTTTAACTTTCACTATGATCCCATCTCACCCCCACTACTGGACTATTACGTATAGGTCCCTGGAAAAACCAACAATTTCCTCAGACTATAATACATTTTTCCTCATCTCAGTCTGTCAATACTTAATTCTTCAAGCCTTCCTTTAATATAGCTTCTTGCACATTACCTGTCACATATTCCTTTGTCTACACAGCACCACAACACACTTTGTTTAAACCTCTATTAATTTTCTATTACACTGTTTTATATTTATATATTTATCTATTTCTCACAAATTCCTGTCTTACTTATCTTTTTATCACCTAGAGATACCAGTCTATGCACATCAAAATGTATAAGTTGAATGAACTATGTCCAGGACATGGACAAGCAGTGGGATAGGAAGCAGGCCTCTCATACAGGCTTCTTGAAATCTGATCCTACTTTCAGCAACTTTGGCACTACCTCCATCTTTAATGGGAGAAATCATTATTTGCACACCCTGTGAACTTGGGATTTGAACTACGTACTTCTATAAAGTGATTCTGCTGTTAATTACTCTGTTCTCTTCCAGGGGTTACCTTTTCTTTCCTTCATTTCTTTTATCTTCCCTCTATACCTTCACTATTTTTACAATAAATAGGTAAACTGAAAAAAAGTTCCATTAAAAAAGTTATCATCAGAGAGAGGATGCCATAAAACATACATATTGGGCAATATGTGTTCCACTGTCAAATTACTTACAGTGATTTTTCTATTTGGCTTTGTAAATGTGAATTTCATTGCACAAACAAGACACAAAACAAGTATTTAGGAAATAAAATAAGCAAAATAAGTCATATTAGGGAAATATTTTTCATTATTGTAGTTTAAAAATTCTTTAAAATGAAAAAATTATGAAATATACAGTGCAAGTATTGAACATGAATTCTTATTTATGCAATAAGAGTAGCCAAAGTTAAGTATAATGTTCTCTCCATTATTTTATCTATAAGCTAAGCACATGGCAGTGGCTAGAATTCCCAAACAGCATCTCCTGTCTCCCACAGCAAATGGCACACAGCAACACTCACTCCATTCATATCTGAATAAATAGTAATAATGGCCATCAAAACCATAATTCCAGAATCATAAGATTAAAAGGGACTAAAAACATTTTTCATACCATTATACATAATTAAGAAGGGTTACTTAAATAGAATGCATTCAAAACATGAATTCATCTAAACAAAATATTGATCTATAAAGTACTAACCTTCCAATCCTTACTTTTAGGCAAATTCACAAGAAATGAGCATAGAAATTACACATAACAATAAATTCTCTATATAAATGACTTTACAAACTTAACAAATCTGTAAGAAAAACCTTTATTTTTTATTGTGCATGTATTACATAAAACTGCTTTCAGGATCTATTATGTTGTCAATATCTACTATGCTGTTTAGTGACTCTTTTATAAAGTATCACAAAATATATTTCTCTAGAAGTTTAAAACTAGAAAAATGTTAATCTTTCTAGAAAACTTTGAGAGCTTTCTGTTATTTCACAAAGATGGCTACACTGTCCATTACATGTTCCTTTTTGCTTTGGTTGTCAAGAAAACTCAGAGCTAAATTTTTTACATGACTGCTGCTACTTTTTTTTAACCTGAATCTTATGAAATTTTCTGTCCTTATACCCCAAATCATCACTCATTATTTAGCATGCATTACTGCATGTCTTTTATTATATATCTTCAAATCCTTTTTAGAAAGGGGTAGGTATAAGCATTAAGAGGGTGTAAAACAAGTATTATCAAATAAAAGTATTGTTTGGAATAAAGTGTTATATGCACACCTTTGAAGATTTCTTCTTTTCCTTGGAGTGCTTTAGATTTGAAACTGAAGACATTATAATTTTACTGATTTCAAGTCCAGTTTGAAGCTATAATGTTTTAAAAAAAAAGTTATAAAATTGATTTGTAACATGCAAAAACACTATAATGAGCTATCAGGTCTAAGTTTATAAATATGAAAATAATTTTTGAAGAAGAAAAGAAAATTTGAAATACTATTTTTGTACGTGTGAAGGTCACTAAGCCTATTGGTAATTACAATAATTTTGTTTATAAAAGAGTAAATTATTTAATATACATATGTAAATCAAACTGAAAATAATTTACCCTAGGAGTTCTTTCAACTGAGAATATATGTTACTTGTCAGAATTTCAAAAGATTAAAAGACCTCTTGATAATACAGCCAAGTATTATACTGGCTGAGTGAGAATTTCATTATCATAACAAAAAGACAATTTAGGAAGCACAAATTGGAATCTAGAACACAGGTTTCAGTTTGATGAAAACAAAAATATGGTAAAACATATATGGTTTACTGTGATAGATTATATAGTGCTATATTTACCTCAGAAGCTTTGTCTTGAAATAGCTTACGTTGATGTTCTTCTTCCTTAAGTCTTTCTTCTAAATATTTAATCTTGTCCTGCAAAAGAGTGAAAAATTAACATTGTTATATGAGCCAAGTATCCTTTGTTCTTTTCCAAATAGAGTCCTAAGGGTCTTGATTCTTAAGAGTTTCGCAAATTAAGGCAGAAAATGATAAAAAGGAAAGGCACAAGATGTTAAGATTCTGTTTTGAGACAGAGTTTTGCTCTGTCACCCAGGCTGGAGTGCAGTGGTGCAATCTCACTGCAACCTCCGCCTCCCGGGTTCAAGCAATTCTCCTGCCTCAGCCTCCCAAGTCGCTGGGACTACAGGTGTGTGCCACTACGCTTGTCTAATTTTTTGTATTTTTAGTAGAGGCCCACCTACTAAGGATGTTCGCCATGTTAGCAAGAATGGTCTCGATCTTCTGACCTCGTTATTCACCCCTGCCCTGCCGCCCTGCCGCCCTGCCGCCCTGCCTCCCAAATGCTGAGATTACAGGCATAAGTCACCACACCCAGCCAATGTTAAGATTTTTCTTGGCTTTCTTCACACTTCTTTATTTGCTTTTTTACCTTCTATTACATACAAGGAGAACAAAGGGAAAGCAAAGAATATACACACACATAACCTTTATTAACTTCCAGCCACAAAATCATTATGATGAAAATTTAAGGTGTAGGTCAAACAATCACAGTCTTGGGTCTCAACATTTCATTCAAAACATATAAAAATAAGTTTCTACTATTTGCATAAATATAATAAGTGTAATTTTGGGAGCAAGAAGAGTGAAAAGACATAATAGAAATACACAATGTGATCCTTGTTACTTAAGAGCTTGTACAGATTGAGTATCCCATATCTGAAGTGCTTGGAACCAGAGATATTTTAGATTTTGGAATATTTTCATTACTGGTTTGGTACCGCTAATCCAAAAATTCAAAATTCTATATTACTCCAATGAACATTTCCTCTGAACATTTTAAGTGTTCGAAAGTTTTGGATTTTGGAGCATTTCAGATTTTGGAGTTAGGGATACCCAACCTGTACTGTATGAAAAGAAAAAAAGAGTAATAGTCACAAAACAATAAAACAACAAAGCAAGGAAATAATTTGAAAGGGATCATATATACATATAACCTTATATATGTAAGTATCACATCTTATATCTGTGGTGTGGTTCAGAATAGAAAGACAGTACTATTTCAAAAGGAGGACTTCCTGAGTGTTGGAAAGCTCAAGGACGACTTCCTAGAGGAATTACGACTATGAGAAAACCCTATAAAATGGAAAGGATTTGGAGGGGAAAAGGACGGAGAGGGGAACTGGAATAGGATTAATTTGACTATAAGTGGTAGAAGACAATTTTTCCATATCCTTTAGGTAAAGTATCTGACAAATGAAAATATCCTGCCATATTAGAAGTCAAAATTACAATTTCACATCAAAAGACAGCTCATTCATACTGTGACAGAACACATTAACTCTCACTCTACAGGTAAGAATTCATATCTGGATTATTAAAAGTTGTCAATAAAGTTTTATAAATCTAAGATTTACTCTACATTCACATAAAATACCAATTATGCTTAACACTAAAGATTTACTCCTGTTGTCATCACTACAAAGAAAGCTTACCTCAGCAGTTTTCTGAGTTGCTGTAAGTCTAAAACACTCTTTTTCTAAGACATCAAGCTTTTCAAGTTTTGCATACAGCTTCATCTCATCTTGCTCTTTTTCCCTCTGAAGCTGGGCCTAGAAAAGATAAAAATAAAATAACAACCCTGAATTTGGCAAGTAATGCCAATGGAACAAGAATAATACAATTTCTGAGAATTCAAAACACAATATGAATATAATGAGAAACATGTACTTATAAATGTATATACTTTAGGTGCTTATAAACAAGAAGAAAATCAAACACTTTTTATTTTTTTCAATTTTAAAGTCATAACTATTTTTTTTGTTGTTTTGTTTTTGAGATGGAGTCTTGCTCTGTCAACAGGCTAGAGTTCAGGGACGTGATCTCGGCTCACTGCAACCTCCGCCTCCTGGATTCAAGTGATTCTCCTGCCTCAGCCTCTAGAGTAGCTGGCACTACAGGTACGCACTCCCATGCCCAGCTAATTTTTGTATTTTTAACAGAGATGGGGTTTTACCATGTTGGCCAGGATGTATTCGATCTCTTGACCTTGTGATCTGCCTGCCTCAGCCTCCCAAAGTGCTGGGATTACAGGCATGAGTCACCATGCCCAGCCCATAATTTTTTAAATTAAAATTTAATTTTTTTTCCTGAAAATCAAACACTTTTAAGGAGCAAACAAAATGTGCAAAAAAGACCAGGTATGGTGGCTCATACCTGTTAATTCAAGCACTTTAAGAGGCTGAGATGGAAGGACTGCTTGAACCCAGGAGTTTGAGACCAGCCTAGGCAACATAGTGGGCATTTATAACTATACTAATGTAAGATACTAATTATAAGGGCAACTGTGAGGGAGCAAGAACTCTCTCTATACTATCTGCTCAATTTTCTATAAACCTAAAATGGCTACAAACAATGTCTATTAATTAAAACAAAACCAAAAACAATACCAATAAACAGAGTCTTGGTAACCTGTGGTTTAGTAACATTCAGTTGAAGTCCCAAAGAAGAGGAGAGAGAGGTGGGACAGAATAATTATTTGAAGGATCATGGTTGAAAATGTTCCAATTTAATGAAAAATATGGACAGATTCAAGAACCTCAAAAAGTCTAAGCATTAAAAAAAAAATAACAGGAACATCATTATCATATTGTGGAAAACCAGTGATAAAAGGAACAATCTTAAAAGCAGTCTGAGAAATGATGACACATTATGCATAGAGGAATAAAGAAAATAACTTTGATTAGAAACTGTAAGATCCAGAAGATAACAGAAACAAAAATCTTTAAAGTGCTGAAAGTAGAAAAGAGTCAACCAGAATTCTATATCCAGTCAGAATATCTTTCATAATGACAGTGAAATAGACTTTTCCAGATAAATAGATGCTAAGACAATTCTTAGTATTCTGACATTTTCCTTCAGACTGGAGAAAAATGATACCAAATGGAAAATGAAATCTACACAAAAATAAGAAGCACAGGAAAGGTAAAAATTATATATTTTTGTTTCCTAATTTTTCTGAAAGAATAATTGACCGTTTGAAGCAAAAATAATAATGTATTGTGGGTTGTATGACATATGCAGAAATAAAATGTATGAAAACTATAGCACAAAGGGGAATAAGAGGAAGCATACTGAAAGAGGATCCTACATTATATGCAAAATATTTTAATACAGATTTATGGCAGACCGTGGTTAGTTAAGGATACATATTTTAGGTCTTAGAACAGCTATTAAAAAGGATCATAATTTGTTTCAATATCTACTAGAGAAAGACCCTCATCTTATTCTTCAGAATAGTCTATCTATTCTTGGACCTTTGCTTTTCCATATAAATTTTAATTTCTTAAAAATCTATTATGCATTTGACCCATCAAAATCCAATATTGACTGTTACTTTTACCCCTCTGCCAAGACAATGCAAGGGTATTAGAACACTTTAAACTACTTTACTTCTTCCTAATATATAAGCCATTGTCCTGATGAATTTTAATTCTTAATATATATTTAAACCACACAAAGCATTATTGTTTTCTATAATATTCATTTAGATTAATCCACATATTTACCATCTTCATTGCTCTTTATTCCTTCCTGCATCTCTGACCTTCCACCAAAGGTCATTTTCCTTCGGTCTGATATCCTTTAGTGTTCCCTTTAGAGTAGGCCTACTAATAACAACTTATCTCAGTCTTTGTAGTCTTAAAATGTCTTAATTTCTGAAGGATACTTCCTCCAGGCATAGAATTCTAGACTAGCACTTATTTTCTTTTAACACCTTAACTCTAACAGTCCCTTGTCTTCCGGATTCAGTACTTTCAGTTGAGAAGTCAGCTATCACTTTAATTGTTCTCTCTTTGAATGTAATATGTTTTTTCCTGGATGCTTTTAAGATTTTACTTTTTTTCCTTTTTTTTGAGATGGAGTCTCGTTCTGTCATCCAGGCTGGAGAACAATGGCCAGATCTCAGGTCACTGCAATCTCCGCCTCCCGGGTTCAAGCGATTCTCCTGTCTTAGCCTCCCAAGTAGCTGTGATTACAGGTGCCTGCCACTATGCCCGGCTAATTTTTCTATTTTTAGTGGAGACAAGGTTTCACCATGCTGGCCAGGCTGGTCTTGAACTCCTGACCTCACGTGATCCACCCGCCTTGGCCTCTCAAAGTGCTGGGATTACAGGTGTGAGCCACTGTGCCTGGCTTTACTTCTGTTTTATTTGTTTGAGTTATCTATGTAGAGCCTCCCTTATATTATCCTGCTTTGATTTTTGTCGGGTTTCTTGAATCTATGGTGTAATTTTACTTTTTAATTTTGTAACATTCTTGGCCATTATCTCTTCAAATACTGCTTTTGCCCTATTTTCCCTTTCCTATTTTTTCTAAACTCCAGTTACACATAAGTTGGACCTCATTCTAATATTATGCCTTTTCTCTGTTTTCTGAATTAACTATCTTTCTTTCTCTCTTTATTGATGTGCATGGTTTCTCCTTCCAGTTCGCCAATTTTTCTAATCTGTTGTTAGATCCATTGGGTTCTAAATTTGTTATTATATTTTTCTTCAGTTCTATAATTTTTATTTGGTTCTTTCTCCAATCTGCTTTGCCAGTTTATAGTTTCCAATTCTTCAGTAAACACTGCAGTCTTGTCTTTTAGCTTGATTATAGCAAGCATAATTATTTTAAAGTCAGTGTCTGTTAGAGCCAGTCAGTACCTAGCTGGAGCTAACTTTCGAGTGTCTATACAGTCTGTTATGCATGCTGTTTCTTATTCATTTCATAGTGTTTTATCTCCTTCTGCCTGATTATCTTTGGTTAAAAGTTGCTCATTGTGTTGAAGAAATATTTGTAGAAATAATTTGAGGTCCCTGGGAATATCAGTAATCCAAGATCACTGTAATTCAACTTTAGAAACTAAGGTTTTCTAGGCTACCGTGATAACCTGGAGCAGGACTATAATCTGGGTTGTTTTTCTTGTTCACCCTTATAAAGCACTTGAGTAGAAGAGATTTAGTAGCATCCTATTTGATAGGTTCTGGACTCTAATTTTCTTAGCCACAGATGGATAGCTGTCAAAGGCATTATTTAGCCTCTCAACTGCCTCTTCTGGAACCAGAAATATCCTTAGAAGAAAGAAGCCTGAAATGTCAAGACAAATGGAATTTAAGTCTGCAGAGAGCTTAAATTTTGAATTGATGGTTTTTCATCACCTTGTCGGTTACTCAAATGCCTTTATGATTTTTCTTTGTTTCTTTTTTCTCTCTTTTTAAAGAAATATTCTGTTCAGTATTTGTTTTTCTCTGCAGAAGAGGTGGTTCAAATGACCTAGCTTGTAATTACTGTAAGTGGAAATCTCCCGTATACAGCTTTATATTCTACTTTACTTAAGAGTGTAATACAGCTGGGCATGGTGGCTCATGCCTGTAATGCCAGCACTTTGGGAGGCTGAGGCAGGCGGATCAACTGAGGTCAGGGGTTTGAGACCAGCCTGATCAATATGGAGAAACTCTGTCTCTACTAAAAATACAAAATTAGCCGGGTGTGGTGGCACATGCCTGTAATCCCAGCTACTCAGGAGGCTGAAGCAGTAGCATCGTTTGAAACCAGGAGGTGGAGGTTGTGGTGAGCCGAGATTGCACCATTGCATTCCAGCCTAGGCAACAAGAGTGAAACTCCAAATCAAAAAAAAAAAAAAAAAAAAAAAAAAAAGCAAAGGGTATAATATGACAACTTTCCCATGACATTAAAATATTCTTCAAAAACATACAAAATTATATTATCATTCCTTATAGAAAATATGCTCACCTGTTGTTCTAGGATCATGTTCTTTTCTCGCTCTACATTTAGAACCATTCTCTTTGTATATTCTAGTTGCTTCTCTAGAAGAGTACAACGAGACTGGGCTGAGCTTAACTGTATACTTATGTCTAAGAAAAAGACAAAATAATAATGAGTAAATTACCTGATTATCACATAGATCAACTCTGATTTGATTAACACAAGAAATTATGTGAATTCAATCAAGAGCTAAAAGTTTAGGGCCTCTTTTATCTTTGAGTATTGACTTTTCCAGAGTTATGAAAATACATTTGTAAATAGCTCATTAATTACATAGAACTGGTTTAATATTGCCTCCTCCTAAAAACCCAGAGGGCAAACTTCTGAAAGATGAGGATGTCAGTAACTTGCGAGATGATAAATATCCTGGTTGTTGATGGAAATAACATCATCTGGAAAAACAGGCTGAAAGTTTCTTACCTATCAATTCATTTCTTTTCTTTTGGGAAACTCAAGTATATGCATCTACCACTCTCATTTTCCCCTGTTCTTGACTGCTGGCAGCATAGTTAATTCCATAGCAGAAAACCTATTTCTAATCATTTAACTCTTTACTTTTTTGACCCCTTTCTTCCACTTTTGTCTAATTACCTCAGAAATCATTTTTCCCCATTTCTTCATTCTACGTCTAAGTTGAAATACACACTTGAGCCTTGTTTATGAGGATGAGTGTAGTGTAATAAGGAAAAAGAACTCGTAAGTTTTGAAGTAAAATTATATAAAAGACTTATGTTCTAAATTTCCAAAACTTTTCATAATTTCCACAGAAGCCTCCCCCATTTGCCTATTTCTTCTAATTAACCTTTTTTTCCCTTTCCAGTTAAATAAAATTCTTTTGTATACATTTTTATTGCTTTTATATTCTTTAATTACTAGTGCTGTTTTGTATTTCAAATTCTAAAATTTAGTGTTAACTGCAAATATAAAGTATTTCAGTTATGGGTTAAATTGGATCTTATTGGTTATTCTGAAAATATTCTAATTTTTAAACACAACTTGTCTGAAATCCTAATTTTTCCTTTAATTTCTAGAAATTATGAATTATGATAACAGATATGATAGAGGTAAGTTCAAACTATATCTTTTTCCCACAAATATCAAAAGGTCTGAAAACATGGTCACAAGGTTTGAATATATATAAGAACAAAGATATCTGAGTACATTTGCTTAGACTAGGCTTATTATTTTTGAACTGTAAACTTCAGTAACCCCTGGTTTCTGAGAACTACTGCATTTCTTACCTTTTTTCTGCTTTATCAGCTCCTGGTGTGCCAGATTTCTCTCATTTGTTTCATTCTCCAAGGCCTTCTTATACTGTGCTGCTTCTTTGGAAAGAATGTTCAGGTTATCTTCAGCCTGTGTTCTCTCCAGCTCTAAACGATGAATTTTTTCCTGAAGAGTTTTTAAGGCTAAGATAAGAGCTGTTGAAAAAAATTTTGTTGATGGTTTAAGTGGAAGTTTCTGAACACTTACAATCACAGTAACTTAAGAAAAATAAGCAGTATATTTTTGTTAGTGAGCCAGAAAAATGTACAAGTAATAATGCATATTCTTCAAAAAATGAAAAATAATAACACTCTAAAGAGGGGCATATTTTTCTAATATATCTTGTAAAAACAATATATCTATGATTGTATTTAGTGATTTCTAAGATTGAGAAAGTTAATAACCACAATTTTAATAAAATATTTTCAAATGAAAGGGCTTAAAACAATGTACAGTCTGGAGAGCATAAGAGACTGAATATGGACAAGGAATATTAAAATACAATTTCTACTATTTAACAAGGCAATTTAGGTTTAAAGTTAAAGGTTTTTTTTCTAAGTTCTTGATGGATTCCATTTTAGTAAAACCATACATATTTATTGTTTCTTTGTCCCTGATGCAGTATTAAGAACATAGGTTCTTTCACTGGAAAAAATGATAACCTAATGGTTTACCTGATGTCAGACCTGAAAGATAATAGTACATTGTACTACTGTGATTTTTATTCAACTATATTAGTATCTGCATGATTCAGTTAAGTTTAAAGTTTTAACTGTCATATAATTTATGTCAAATTAGATGTTTGCTAGAGATTATCATTTGATTTTTATAGATGAGATAAATTATATTTATTCATCTTTATATGGTATCTGTGTTCCACATAAATATGAAAAGTTTTTCATAGCATGCTTTTACCATTCTTCTAATTTTATATAAAATTTTACATCAGTATTACCTGGGCTATTTGGGCTATGAAGTATCTTAGAAGAGGTAACTTCTAAGTTTGCAGGATGGCAATTCTGAGATGATTCATTCTGGGTGAATGATGGAACAAATACTCTTTCTGGAGGTTTATGATAGCTTCCTACTATACTATGCATTAATTCAGAATCCATTATCTGTAGAGAACAAAGGAATTATATAGTATAGTATCATTCTTTCCTATTTTAAGGGTGAAAGCATTGTACAAAAATTCAGGTGAAACTTTAACAACATAATCATATACTATGGAGCTGTACCTTTATGAACTTAATAAGAAATTCAACTCTAATAAGCTTGGCAATAAAAAAAATATGATTTCTTGTGTAAGTAATATAGATAATTCTGCTTGATTTTCAATAATCATATGCCCTGGAATGAGCATGACATGAGTGATGTGAATTTACTGGATTCTCAAGTTACTCATAAATCCCATATCCCGATCATAGTCTGAGCACTTCTCCACAAGCAGTGTGACTCTAGGACTTGAAGAGAAAGTATGTATTCTAAAAGACAAGAGAGCTTTTAAACACAAACCAAAAATATAAACTGATTCTCTAATACTGATTGTTGAATTCTAATGTATGGCTTCCTAAGGGATTTTCAAGAGTAATTTTGGATACGTGAAATATTGGAATCTAACCCTTGAATAAGACACATCTCTGCTTAATGCATTAGCATTTTAATAATCTAGATTAGAAAGTTTCCAAATTTAAAGAATCTAGAATAGTTTTGTTAGTCTGGTTCTTTTGTTGTTGTTATTGTTTTGGTAAAAGAGCCCTTTTAACCACTTTAGCAGTTAAGTTTTGGTCTAAATTTTCCAAATCATTTTATTTTCCTTTCTGCAATTTAAATATTTTAGAAATGTATTCTATTCTTTAATAGATTCTAGTCAATGTTAATTAAACTAATTCATAATCATATAAGGTGATAACTGTTCACACAAAAAAATAACTCACTGGCAGGATTTTAAGCTAGAAAGCTTGTTTCAAAATACAAATTCAAGAATTACCCTATAGCATTAGCCTATTTTGATTTGAGATTTGTACATTTTCCATTTCAATACCTCCCCAGTTCACAAGGCAAAGGCAGTCACTTCCCATGATTGTATTTTCTGAAAGGGCAGAAGACACAGTTCACTTCCTAGAATTTTCAACTTTAGCCATTGCCATGACTGGCTATCTCCTAGAACATTCTGATTGTTCTAAATTAGAGGCTATAAAGCCTAAAGTTTACTAAGATACTCAATACTTTCTGTTCTTGTAAGGCAACATATTTTGCTATTGTTATTAGTACCAGCTATCTCAGACACTGCCTGCTCCCCCTGGGATATCGCATCTATTTAAGTTGCTGTTCCTTAAAAAAACAAAAGATCAACATTAGTCACAGCTGGCTCACTATAAAGTAGAGGTAAGGCCCCAGCGTACTAAGTTCTGCATATGGTTGTACATCTTCAGAGAGAGGTAAGTGGTTAAAGCTATCCCAAGAACACTGGAGCTACTATCTTACTCAGTTTTCAGCTCCGGGTGGGTTTCTCCAATAATAGAAAGAATGAAATTTTGCTATTAGTCACTACATACTGAAGTCCCTGGGAGGTCTCTGCTTCCTCTGACCCAAATATAATATTATTTCACAAACTGGATTTTGTACCAATTAAAAAACTAGGCCAAATTTGAGGTTTTTAATGTATATCAAATAACGACTACTTAGAAGATTGTCAGTAAGTTAAAAATCAGACTACAGTTTATTCAAATTAATATAGACACATATTAAAGTGGGCACAAGCAGAATGACCCACTGATAGAATAAAAATACGGTGAAGAAAAAGAAAGAAAACTGTAAAGAAATGAGAGGGCAAGTTATGCTGTGACACAGAGCTCAGAGATTCTCATTGTAATGGGATCTCAGCTTAACCCTTATAACCTGGGTCCTGTGTTATAAACATAAGCCTACTAGAAGCTTATTTACATAAAGCCTACTACAAGCTTATTTACATAAAGCACTGAAGCATCCTGGGAGAAAAACTCACTCTGAAGGAAGATTAAGTAACTACAAAAGGCTTGATCCAAAATCAAAGCCTTATTTGGCTGAGGAGAGGAGTGATTCTCAGTAGTCTATGGTGGTGGTCATTCTAATTTATCTCTGACCTAGTGCCATAGACTCATATGTGGGTCCTAAAAAGAGAGAGAGTTTAAATAAAAACTGAGAAATGTTTCACCAATATCTCCATAAAATATCAAGGCACTAGCTTCCCTGCTTTGTGTAAGATGTTTATGCCAATGGAGGAGGAGTCAGATTGCTAATACAGTTTTGGCCCCTTTCTGGTGCATTGGTTAGTAGCAGTCAGCATGCGTGCGCGAGAGCAAGAGTAGGAAAGCAAGAGAGCAAGAGAAACAGAGAGGGAGCACAGATGGAAGGGACATATTCATGGGCACATATGGGAAATATTTCTAGAGACAAATTTCTGAAAATACAGAGAAGTACCTAAACCACAATCTCTAGGATTCTGGTGTTTGTGGTATGAGACTTAGCTAGCCACTGGTAACTGAAAAGGCCTCAGGAATTCTTATAAAACATTTTATAGGTGTCTGAAAGTAGGGGCAAAAGGCTATGAAGTGTGAACCTCATTTGTATCAAGCCTGGGAAATTCAGGTTATACCTGGAACCATTCTTTTTTTCTTAAAGTTTTTACTTTATTTCTTCTAAAATCAAACAAAAAAATGGGATACATGTGTAGAACATGCAGGTTTGTTACAAAGGTATATGTGTGCCATAGTGGTTTGCTGCACCCACTGACCCATCCTCTAAGTTCCCTTGCCTCACTCCCTATCCCCCAACAGGTCCTGGTGTGTGTTGTTCACCTGTGTACCATGTATTCTCAATGTTCAACTCCCACTTATGAGTGAAAACATGGTATTTGGTTTTCTGTTTCTGTATTAGTTTGTTGAGGATGATGGCTTCCAGCTTCATCCATGTCCCTACAAGGGACATGACCGCATTCCTTTTTATGGCTGCATAGTATTCCCTGGTGTATATGTACCACAGTTTCTTTATCTAGTCTATTATCGATGAGCATTTGAGTTGGTTTACCTGGAACCATTTTTGACAGCTTGTGAACAACCAGGGAAATTACTGATTGTCTTTATGGTCTATAAAATTAAGATACCCTAATTGGCTGTAACTAAGGACCTGATGCATAAAAAAACTATCCCCCACTCTGCCAAAATAATGCTCTAGACACTTTGCTGCAAAACATTTCAATGTATTATGGAGAAAAACACTTATTCTATAATACTACTAGAGAGACAGCATTAGGGGCTAGTCAGAGATACTATAGAACATTTTTGGAATAAAGGAATCTCTGTTTGCTATTACTGCTAATTCTTCCAAGTTTGGATTTTCCTTAGAGAAACTGAGGAAAGATCAACAACTCAGTTTCTTTTCTTTTTTTTTTTTTTTTAACTCAGTTTCTTTTATCTGTTTTTTTCTTTATGTATGCATCTACACTAACCTTAATGCCAAATACAGTAAAGGCTGGGCTAACTCTTATTTTTTAATGTATAGTACTTTAAGAAGTAATTTATTTCCATAGTACTTTAAGGTGTATAGTACTCTATAGTGCTTTTTTCCTACAGTACTTACAACTGAGTAAGCTAATCTGTGGTGGAGGAACTTACGTTGTAAATATCCTATAATAATTACATAATGTGTTATTTATAATGTACAATAACCAAAATGTTAAGATGTGACAATAAAAATTAACTGGTCAATGGAAAGTAGTAAATATATGAATGTAACATAAATACTTCAGTGGGATTCAACTATTCATTTGTTGATCATCCAATAAATGATGTTTAAAAAATTGGGTAAAAAATCCAGTTACGCCTTTTATCTCACTCCATGCAATACAAATGTCAGATAACTACAGAGTCAAATAAAAAAAAAACTCAAAAAATTATTTTAAGAAATCAGTGAACAATTAACCTTAGAGTAGGTAAGATGTTCTATGTTTAAAAGTAACAGAAAAATAAAGGAAAAGATATAAAAGCTCTGTTAATACAACATATAAGGCTGGGCACAGTAGCTCACACCTGTAATCCTAGCATCCTGGGAGGCCAAGGCGGGCGGATCACAAGGTCAAGAGTTTGAGACCAGCCTGGCCAGCATGGTGAAACTCCGCCTCTACTAAAAATAAAAAAATTAGCTGGACACGTTGGCACACACTTGTAGTCCCAGCTACTTGGGAGGCTGAGGCAGGAAAATTGCTTGAACCCAGGAGACGGAGATTGTAGTAAGCCAAGATTGTGCCACTGCACTCCAGCCTGGGCAACAGAGTGAGACTCTGGCTATAATAATAATAATAATACAACATATAAAAATTGTAAACAAAATTGAATGGCAAAAGACAAACAGAAATAAGTAAGTGCGATGAAGAACAAAGGGTTAATGTTAATATGGAAAGAGCTTTTGTAAGTCAAAAGAAAAATACTAACACCATAATAGGAAAATGACAAATAATTATAAACCATCAATTCACAGAATAATGTGGCCAGTAAACAATAAATTTGGCTGGGAGCAGTGGCTCATGCCTGTAATCCCAGCACTTTGGGAGGCTGAAGTGGGTGGATCACTTGAGGTCAGGATTTTGAGACCAGCCTGGCCAACATGGTAAAACCCCATCTCTCCTAAAAAATACAAAAATTAGCCTAGCATAGTGGCAAGTGCTTATAATCCCAGCTACTCAGGAGGGTAAGGCATGAGAATCACTTGAACCCAGAGGTGAAGCTTGCAGTGAGCCAAGATTGTACCACTGCACTCCAGACTGGGTGACAGAGTGAGACTCAAACTCAATAAATAAATAAATCTTAGTAATAATCAATGAAAAGCAGTTATATCCAGATTCAAAAGTAAAGCCCTTTGCAGCTGGACCTCAATTCAAATCTTGGATCTGTCACTTAATATCTTTTTGACTTTCAGAAAAGCTTTTTTCAGAAAATATTAAATGAGAATTTCTAGGCTGGGCACAGTGGCTCACACCTGTAATCCCAGCACTTTGGGAGGCTGAGGCAGGCAAATCATTTGAGGTCAGGAGTTCGAGACCAGCCTGGCCAACATGGTGATACCCCACCTCTACTAAACA